TGGGCAGTCTTATGACAACGCTGCCAACATGGCTGGTAAGTACAACAGTATGCAGCAAAAAATCATTAGAAAAAAACATTTGCAAGATTTATTCCATGCGCAGGTCACTCTTTAAATCTGGTGGGCCTTTCAGCTGTGGAGTGCTGCCTTGATGCAGTGAACTGTTTTGGCATTATCTTCTTTTCATCCTCCACAAAGAGATGGGCAGTTCTAAAATCATTTTTGCCACCTCAGTCTAAAGTGCCTAAATATTTGTCAAACACTAGGTGGGACGCACACGCAAAAGCCACAGAAGCTGTTTTGGAAAGTTACAGTGCTATCACTGATGCCCTCAGCCATTCGTACTCTGACGCTAATGGGAAGGGGGAGACCAGGCTTCAAGCTAACAATCTTTTGCAGAAAAAGGAAGAACTGGAATTTGTGTTTATGCTGCATTTTTGGACCTGTGTGCTAGGTCATTTTCAAAAGGTCAGCAAAGTCCTTCAGAAATCAGACCTGTTATTGAGTTCTTGTGCAAGTTTGTACAGTTCACTTCTGGATTTTTTAAGGAAAATTAGAGAAGATTTTGATGAGCTTGAGAAACAAGCAAAAGCCACTTTGCCAAATGTTAACTACAAAACAAGGAGACAAAGAGTAAGGGAACTGCAAAGAAATGACAGAAGTGCACCTGATGCCTTAGATGCACTTTCTTCAAGAGATAAGTTTAGGATAAAATCCTTTATTCCTATATTAGATGCACTTGAAGCCAATTTAAAAAGAAGAAATACTGTGCACAGTGATGTTGCACAATTGTTTTCCATTCTTGCTAATCTGACAGCATCTAAGCAAGAAATTCAGCAAGGTGTTGAACTGTTGATGGAAGCATACCCAGACGATATTGACCTGAAACTTATTGATGAACTTTTGCACTTTCACCTGTACGTGAGACAAAGCCATAGGCTTACAGAAAAGCACTCTGTCTCATACAGACCTTTATAAAATTATATACAAGGAAAAAATTTAGATGGCCTTTCCTAATGTGGATGCAATCTTGAGACTATTTCTTAGCTTTATGATCACTAAATGCTCGGGAGAGAGGAGTTTTTCAAGACTCAAAAGAATTAAAAATGAATTAAGGGCCACCATGTCTCAAGAGAAGTTGTCCACGCTGAGCATTCTGTACATTGAAAGTGACAAACTTAGACAAACAAATTTTGATGAAGTTTTGGATGATTTTGCTATGAGGAAGGCTAGAAAAAAACATTTCTAGTCTTACCATATTTGATGGTTGTAATATGTATTTTAAACTGACTGTTTAATGACAACATAAAGTAGATTCTAAAAGGGCCACACTGTCAGGTAATCATGATCATATTATTTACACTTCCCAGGCAATATAATTTGTAAACTCAAGGTTTGTTTTTTTAAGAATAACATTACAGCTTCATTTTCCTAAAAATTAATTCTTATTCCACAAAGGTTTACAAAGTTCAGTTATTGCAAAAGTTTTTCAGTATTAATTTTAAACATTTATGCATTTTTAATCACTATGGTATTTAACAATAACATCTTATGTCCTTTAGAGGAGAAATTGTGAATTGCAAAATTTTAAATACCCCTCATCATCCTTGGCTTCACTCAATTTTGTTTACAACACTCTTCCATTTTCTTCTAGTCATGAGGGTGGGGGATTGGGAGGGGCCTCACAAGTGGCGTAGCCTAGGGGCTCTCTTCATCTAAATCCGGCCCTGTGCCCAAGTCACCAATTGTTTATTCTCTTGCAGTCTGCAGCAGAGAAGTTTAAATCTGATTTATCCTGTGCCTTCTCCTATAAAGTCAGAGTCAACATCAGCAGTCCTACCAATTCATTTTGATGCTCAGAATGGAAAATCTGAATGACTGTCTCTGTCTGTCGCCGCTTTCACTCTCTTTGCTCATTGGATTTTATGGTACCTTCTGCATAGATTTATGGCCGTTCAAGGGTGACTTTGCAGTCAGTACAGTGTTGCCCCGGGGTATTTGAGTGTGGTTTTGAGCTGCACCTTTTCTGTTTCAACCTGGGTTTGGTAAAACTACGGAGGGAAAAGCCAATGCAGAATCAGTCTCTCTCTCACACACACACACACACTTTTTAAAAATTATTTAAAATACTGAACAGCTCATACTCATTTCCGTGCGGCTCACACAGGGGAACTTCCTAGGGGACTGTGCCCAGGGATCAGATGTCGTTTTTAAAACTGTGCGACAGGCATAAACGATCCACAAGTGAAACCTGCGCTATCAACGCGTCTCCATTATTGAGTAATACACTGCCTGCTGAATTCCACCCTGGGAGAAAAGGTAGCATCCTTGCCCACCCACTCCGCTCCCCAGCTTCTGACACTAGTTCACCCGTCCTCCACAACCTACGGCCATCCCCGTGTCCTCAGATGGGGAGGGGGTAAACTCACTGCCATCCCTTTCGTCCCGATGCCCAGCACCTCTCTCCGCCGCCCGCGCCTTCCCCGTTCTCAGACGCCAGTCTGGGAGCAGGAGCTGACGGAGTCCCCTCCCCCAGGACAAGGGACAGCCGGTGTGGGCGATTAAAACCGGGACCAATAGGGAGCGTTAATCCCTCCCGTCCTGCCTGCCCTTAGACAAGTTTTGCTCGCCGTTTGTCCTTGCAGCCACCAGGCTGCTAACCCGCAAGACCGTCGGCTTTGCAGCACTGCGAGACACCCGCTCTGCCGAGGGGGCTCTCCTCGAAGGCGCCACGAGCTGCCAGGGAAGGAGGCGCTTGCACAGATTAGGCGCCTCGGAGGTGAAGCGGCGGCCCCAACCGGTCTCACCTTAAAGCGGACAGGCATGGCTGGTGCTCGCCCCAACGTCCTCAAGCGCCGCGCCGCCCCGAGGAGGGGGAAGACGCGATGGCTGTAAACAAATCCGTCTCCTTAGCAAAGCTCCCGGCCTGCCTCGCCTCAGACGCTTGCGCGGGGAGCTGCCCAATCAGCGCCTCAGCCCCACCGCTCGACGGCCCTCCACCGCCCCTCGAAGGGGTCGAGGCAAGAGCCGCCCTGCCCCTTTCTGCCGCTAGAGTTACCCGAGGGCCGTTGCAAGCCCCTCTTCCGGGCAGCGGGGGGAGGCGCGGGGAACTGGCTTTACCCCACCCCCTCGTGGGGGATTAGGTTAAGCCTCTGCTGGTCTTCTGAGGCGTGGGAGGCGCGCTGGATCTGCCGGGGGGGGGGGGGGGGGGCTTTGATAGCGTTCCAGTTT